TGTAGTATTCCAAATATGGTGCTTAAAAGAGACTTCAGCCAGCCTGCAAGATGTTATGTGGAAGGAATTACAATGTCTCTTCTTCCCTACTGCACTCATTTACACGATGATTAAACAATTTTTTTTTTTTGCCCTCAGCAATGCTTGCTCTGAATATAGATCTGAAGTGACTCCTAAATTAGAGCTGCTTTTCCTAATGCTGAACCGGCCACTACAGGCAAAGTCAGCAAACACCTCTCCACACCTTACGTATTTGCATTTACCTTATTTGACGTCAGAAAAATTGTTTGAAAATGATTTATGGTACAAAGAGGATCTTCAGGCTCAAGATGATGACATTTTGTGTCATCCAGTGACATACATACATATATATGTATTTTTTAATTGAAGTATAGTTGATTTACAATGTTGTATTAGTTTCTGGTGTATAGGAAAGTGATTCAGATCTATATATGCATTCTTTTTCATATTCTTTTCCATTATGGTTTACTACAGAATATTAACTATAGTTCCCTGTGCTATACAGTAGGACCTTGTTGTTTATCTATTTTATATACAGTAGTGTAAATCTGCTAACTCCAAACTCCTAATTTAGCCTTCCCCTACACCCTTTCCCCTTTGGTAACCATAAGTAGTCATTTATACTTTTACTGGCTTTAGTCAAAGAATGACTCATCAGAATCAGATCCTGGGGAATATCTGGGGAGGTGTTAGAGAAGTCTCATACCAAGAAGGGACCAGCATCTTGGTAAAGAGTTTGGTTTCCTTCAGAGACTTCAGAGATTGTACAAATCAGAAATACTTGCTGGACGTCACAAAACTATTCTAAATATTTCAAGCCTTTAAAACTTGTTACAGGCCATTTAGTCACAACAAGAGCAATTCTGATCTGTACGGGTCACTAGAGTCATTATCTGCACTATATATTTAGGTTCATGTGGCCTGATTCAACTTATTAATGTGTTCAATTCTCTTTTCCTCTTGATCAACAAAATAAAAATCCACTTCTAAACTATGTTAACGCTTATAGGCTTTCAAGCATTATTTTATTTTTAATTTTAGTCAAATACATATTTATTAGAGTTTTTAACTTCTACAATTTTCTTCTACCCTAAAAGGTTGTTGTAATATTTTAGTAGGTATCTATCTTAAGGGACATGTATAATGTGGACTACTGGGAGGATAGGGTGATTTAAAAAATGTTTGAAAAAACATTCCGTTGGTATTTGTTGAAATGCACGAGGTAACCCATTATTGGCAAGGAGATAACACAGCGGTGGGAGACGCAAATTCATCAACAGAAAAATTACAGTATTACAAAGTGGTGAGGGTAATGATGAAGCTATGCAGATAGACGTTTCTTTTTCTGTGAGTCTAGGAAATGAATTCAGCCTTGACGTGTTAGGGAAAGGCTTCCTATAGGAGATAATGCCTGGGTTGAGTCTGAAAGTAGTCAGGCCTAAGAGTGGGGAAGAGAACCCTAGTAAAGACACAGAGCTGAATAGGGAAGAGTTCCCTTGTTCCTCTAAGCTTCTGAACATGTTCCTTAGTCACTGGTAGAAGGGGAGGCTGCCCCACCTTGTCACTGTTTAATCCTAACAAAGAGCCTTTTGCAGATAATGCTGTGCAGTGGTGACTGCGTGGGCAGTTATTATGACTAAACTGTCAAGTTGGCCAGATATCCCCTGCCACCTTTACATACAACCCTTTCCTCATTTTCCAGGTAGTTCAGTGTAACTCAAATAACCACTACCTCCTTTATTAGTTTCCTGGAGCTGCTGTAACAGAGTGCCACAAACTGGGTGGCTTGAACAATAGAAATTTATTATCTCACAGTCTGGAGACTAGAACTCTGAGATCAAGATGTCAGCAGGGTTGGTTCCTTCTGAGAGCTGTGAGCGAGAATCTGTTCCATGCCTTCCTTCTAGCTTCTGCTTGTTCGCTGCTGGCAATCTTGGGCTTTCTTTGATTTGTAGATGCATCACCTAGATTTCTGCATCTGTGTCCAAATTTCTCCTTTTTATAAGGATACCAGTCATACTGGAGTAGGGGCCCACCCTACTCCAGTATGACCCAGTATGACCTCATCTTAACTAATTATATCTGAAATGACCTTATTTCCAAATACAGTCACATTCTGAGATACTTGGGATCAGGACTTTAACATATGAATTTTGAGGAGACACAATTCAATTCATAACATTCCTTTTCAGATGTAAGCTCTATAATTTAAGGTTCTATCTTAATTTCAGAAAATATTTACCAGGAACATAAATGCTTTGTTGCTTGTTTTCCATGGGTTAACCTATAGTTTCCTACTCATTTACATAAAATATGTATATTCTGTTATTTTCACCATATCAGAGATTTCATGGAGTGTTTGGAATTTAGTAAAAATTTACCTATTAGGTGTCACAGTTAAGCTACTGTTTCATTAAATGCTGATCTTTTTCCAAAGGTATTTCCCAAACAGTATGTTAAAATTAGCACAGCTTAGTTCTTGGCACAAAAAGTGTGATAAGCACTGTTGATCTTTGAGTTTGAAAAGTTCTATAAAACAAGAATAAATATATTAAACTACTGTCCAAAAATGGTATAAAGAATAGTTGACAAAATGATCCAAACATCTTTTACTTACTGAATAAATGACATCAATGAATAAGCATTGAAAGCCAGTATTTGATAATTAAGATCATTTGATAATGTCACTCACATACACAACTAGTTTTGTATTGGATATCTTCCACAGGCAAAGGACTGATGGCAGTTTTTCCCATAAATCACTTTTTTATTAATGCTGTATTTGATTTTTATTTTAGGTAGTACAACTTTTAGAAAAAAATGTTTTCTCTGCTGGCAAAATGGGCCCATTATCTACTCCCTAGGTATTTCATTATGTCTTTTGATTTAATTTTTTACTTTTCACAAGATATACACAATTACTTAACAGGGATAGTACAATTTCTAATATCACTCGTTTTTTATCCAAAGCAAAACATTTGGTTCTGTACGTCGTTCAGATCCTATTCATTACAGGGTAAAGCTGGGCTTGCAGAATTTAGTAAGTGGATGCAAGCAGCTACCTGGGAAGAGCAAAGCGTCAAATTCAATCAAGGTTCCTGTAATCTGATACTATCAACTGTTGTGCTGTCTTGCAGTCCTAAACAGGTTCCACAATCTTATTATTTCTTAGCTCCTTGATGTGACAGGTTTCGTTTTTGGCACTCTTAATTCCTGAAATTAATCTGTCTTGAACTGTTAGGTTGGCTTAGTTTTCTATTTCCCGATAGTTAAATCACTGTGGGAGCGGTACCAGGACAACTGTGTCCTGAATTTTTAAAGGTTTTTTTAAGCCTGCCTTCCCCACTGGTTGGCTTCCCTTTCTCCCACCCCTTCACAGCCTTTTCTTTTTTCTCTTTCGCTCAGTTCCTTTTACACTCAAGCAGTGCAGGGGGATTTAAATTCCAATCCGGAACTCTGAATCGCGCGCCTTGAATGACGGGAGTCGTAGTTTTCGTGACTCCTCCCTCACCGCTTTTCACGGCGATTCCGCCTCAGAGTGGAAAACTACAACTCCCAGAATGCATCCGCGAGGCGACCACCCCCTGTGCGCACGCGCCTTGAGGCCGCAGGATTTGAATCGGCGGCGTTGTTATTGACGCCATATTGGGGCCGGCGGCGGGTGGAAGAGTCGTACAGTGGAGGGGGAAGCGGCTGGACGTGTTTGTTGGAGCTCCTGCTGCCACCACCGCCGCCACCACCAGCACCACCTTGTAATCCCGCCGCATCGACCGCCGCTCTCTAGCTTCTGACCCTGCCTGGGAGTATTAGGAGCCGCGTTCCAGCCTCACGCCTACCGGGGCTGGTATCGACTTCTGAAGGAGCCGGTCTCAGAGCAAGAGCGCCTCGGGCGCAGCGCAAAGCTCGAACGGACGGCGGGGGCGGCCGCAGCCTCTCCCGGGGGAGCCGCGCCTGAGGAGGCGGAAGAGCC